CCCCCCCAACTAGTTACCTCTTGTTTCGTTCCTCTAACCTTTAAAGTTGTAAATTACAAAAAATTTAGCAAAACTTGAAAGTAAAATCCATCAATAAAAAAAGTTAAAGGTTATACTCTAAAATATCTTTCTGACAAGTAAAGAAATCAGAATACTAGAAAACATCAAAGAGAAAATTTGAAATATTAATGAAGAAATGAAAGTGTATTGATGAAACTAGCTGAAACACTCAAATCACTTCTCTTTTTCCTCGAGAAAACAAAGAACAAAATCTTGAATCTTGCACTGAAATATGAAATTAACCATTAAATTAAAAGGATTCTTAAAGATTATTCTTAAAACTAGCTGAAACACTCAAATTATAAAGTATCATTTTCCACATTTTATCAATAGAGAGATGGTAACAAGAAGGGACAGGGGAATTAGATAGAGATGGTGGTGAATCCAAAAGGATGAAAAGGGGGAAAGAGAAGGGGAAGATAGGGTGGAATGCATATAATTTTTTTGGGAATGGGTGGATTATTAATATGGAACAGTTGGATTTTAGTTTGGAAATGAGGCGGGTCTTTTTAATCCAATCAGGGCAGTCACGTGTATTTTTTAAGTTGGAATGAAGGATTTAATGAGGGGGCGCAAATATAGGCCAAAAGTATGACAGTAGAGGTAGTTATATTAAAAAAATCGAAATATATGGTAGATATAACTTATTTTCGAAAGTAAAGGGACAAATATGACCCTTTGTCATTTTATTTATCTGGTTGAAGGTTATGGTCCATTTTGTTTTCTTTCACGTAGTTACTAGGAGAGTAAAGAAAGTTAGTTGTATAATAATAGCTGCGAAATCTGTAAGATTTGAACTCGTAAAATCATATTTAAATTACGCTAAATATATATATGTGGCCCCTTAAACTTGCTCGATTTTTTTATTTATGCACCTAAACTGAGTGTTGTTACTATTGAATATCTAAACCTAAGTTCAAGTGTGTCTATTAGACACATCTCTCACACTCTCAGAAACAACTTAAGCGTGTGTTCTCAAACCCCTTCTATATGACAAATAAATAAATTAATATGTGACATATGAACAAGCAAAAAACCTTTCTTACTATTTTTTATTCAGAATCTCTCCCCGTCTTCTTCTTTCCCACTGGCAGCGATGTCGCGGGAGTGACCATCAAGACCTCCACCAATAAATTGAAGATGACTTACAATGAGGAGAGGGTGGCTACATAGCAATCATAAACAGAGAGACAATCCTACAAAATCACTTTCAGATTCTAGTTAATATTTATATGGCACATAAAAATCATAAACAACGAATGAATTAACTTCAAGGGACGTTCTTTAATGGAAATAATTTGTATATTTTCTTGTTTACGGGAAAAATAGTTTATTCGCTTTACCAGTTTTTTGATAAAAAATGGGTTAAATGCTACTGAATTGAGGATGATACAAAATCCTTTATCAGCTAGTATGATCTGTAAGAACCGTATGAAGAATTTAGACAAAAACAATATCAATGATCAACAAGGCAGGGCTAGAGATCTAAATAAAAATACAGTGATGAGCTTTTTCGTACTGGCTAATGCTTTTTTTCTTCAAAATAATACAGATAGAGAGAGAGAGTTCTATCGTAATGGATCTGCCTTATATTCACTGAGAAGCTATCTATATAAAATAAGAAAGCGCCTTTTTTGTGATAAGACCCTTTGACAGTGCAAAAAGGACTATTAAAAAGGCGTCTATGGTTCAACACAGAGCTCGATAATAGCTGATGTCAGAGAGTTAGTGATAATGCGCTCCAACTAGCGTTAGGATCAAGGCCAAAATAAAAAGATCCGTTGGATCTAGTGTTACTGTACCACGGGCCAACAATGACCTTAACCATTTTGAGACAACAAAGTTGCCTAGAGATACCAATTGCCACGATCTTAGAGCCCCCAAATGAGGCCATCTGCCACGATACCATGAGTGTCAGACTTCTATTGGTCCGAACTTCCACATGTCATATCCCTATTGGTACACCTGGCAGGTCTAAATTTTCATCTTATACATATAATCCCCCACTTTTCGTATACTTGATGAAACATATCATGGAAGTGGAAGAGGTACAAAATTCCACTGGCGGTAAAGAAATCGAAAAGGCTATCGACGGCTTCAGATACGTGCCACGACGTGCATTAAAGAGCCCTAATTATTACTCTTGGATTTCGTTCGGCGGTACCTTTTACCTTAAACTTGCGAGGTCACCTGGCCCCTCCATGATTGAGCGGTTACTGGATGCAACGATTTCACGTCTTCTTACTCAAACCAGTTCCAATTGCAAGAATGGTTCATTACCTTCCTTTCATTACCTAACGGTGTCTACTTCCTAAAATTACTCATTTTCGCTACAACTCCACCAAATGATTTGGCTCCTTCTGTGCGTAGAAGAGGGAAGGCCCCCGTGGTGGAAACTGCTGACAAGTTGGGTCTAGAGGATCTCGTCGCCGAGATAGTTCCTCAAACCCTATACCTTGAGGGCGACTATCAAAGCGTCAACAAGGGCAGGCCAGTGGAGGAGTATGTGTCCTTAGTGAGGGAGGAATGCCTTTCTCGAGTAATGGCAGATTGCGACTGGATGCCGATGTTGAATTCGACATCGTGGGCGACGAGGCTCGAATCACCAACCACATGGCAGGCTTCTCTATGATCTTCACTAACCCGTTTACCATAGGCTTTGGGCTCTCTATACCCAAAATTATTGAAATCTTCTGCCACCACTATCAGGTCTGTTTGGCTTAATTGCCCCCCCCCCCCCCAGTTCTGGAGATTGGTTGCATGCATCTAATTCCTGGCCGATCGGGCCAAAATGAATTTCACCCTTGACCATCTGATACATCTCTACTCTCTTCGACTATTCTGGGAGGAATGATACGCTTGATTGCATGAGGTACACGCACCTTGATGATGAGTGCTGAAGACGACCTTGACCGGGGATAGTGGGACCAGTTTGATAGAATCTTAACATATCGACTGCATCAGCCAACTTCCCCACCGCTTCCGAAAACATAGAGGCTTTCACGTAAGGCTTTGTAACGCTCTTCAACACTTTTTATTAGTCCAAGTCTTACTCATCTTTTACTATGTTGGTTTTGCGTTTGCATCCCGAGCGGTCTCCTGTACACCTGTACCTAAGATCTTCGACTAGGTGAGGGACATTTTATGAGTCTCTGTACAGGATGACCGAACATGGAGGGCCATTTTATTCAACCGATTAAAGGGTAAAAACCATGGTAACCGGTGGCTAGAGCGCATGAAACAAAAAAATTTCTTGTCACATCTTCCTTATCTCTGAATTTGTATTTTCTGTATGCATGTTAGGGAAGATATCAAATGCTAGGGTGCTCCCTTAATCCGCCTCCATATTTGCTCGTATTCGGGACTTAGCTTCCGAAGTTTCTTTACACTAGAAAAGAAGGGCCCAGGATTATTGCGAGCCCAATATTAAGGGGATCAATGCACGTCTCCTCCACCGTTGTCGGGAGATCAGGAGCTGGAGGGCAGAGATGACCAGGGTGGTCAACATCGATGCCGAAGAGGTAGAGGCCATTTCTATGGGAGGAGGTGGAAGATATGAGGTTTCAACCGCTGAATTGGAGGTGATCGGGGGACTTGTGAAGGAGAGTGTGGTTCCTTCCGGTCCGGCAATCAGGGACGGCTGAGGTACCATTGATCAGGAGCTTCCCACTGAAGAGGGCCTCTCGAATCTTCTCCTTACCCGGTGGGTTCTCACGATCCGAAATCCTCTCTTTCCTACCTCTTTTAAGTAACATAAGCTTTCCTCTTATTTTATCTTTCTTGAATTTGGAAATCTTATCTTGATGCTTTCACTCGTGTAGCTCTATTCACTTGCCATCACCTCTATGAAAATTGCATGAAGTTAGCCGATGGCACTCACCGAGGAAGTTGAGTGTGCTAAGGCTGAGGTCAGCGAGCTTCACGCAAACAACTCTAAGCTTCGAGAAGATCAAGAGGATAGGCAAGCTCTATGATCATTCTTATCTTTGTAGTTTGATTATGTCCAGAAGGAATTGATGGAGCGAAAGGCTACTCTGGCTGTTCTCTCCGAATCCAATCGGGAGCTCTAGGTGAAAAACCTTTCTAGGGCGAATGACCATGCTCAAGATTTATCTTCAAGCATTGCTCTTCAGGAGTGGATGGCTCAATGCAGGCTGAACTAAAGACCTTCAAGGACCATTGTCATCAAGAGGTAGCTTCTAGAATAAAGCTCGAGGACCAATGTAGGAAACTCTGGGTGTACCGCCAAGCTGACAAAGAAACGGCCGAGTTGGACCAGAATTGGGTGATCCTCTCTACCCATTTGGAGACCCTGCATCCAGTTCAGGGAGGCGGCCTTGATCTTTCCTAAATAATCATCGAGGCTGAAGCAGTCACCGCTACTATAGAGCAAGCCCTAGAACTGGTGCCATCTGGGTCCGATGAAGAGAGTTCCGAGAGCGAAGATTCTGCTGGTCCTTTTAGAAGTGTTTCCCCTGTCTTAGTGTTTGTTTTATGGAGTCCTCAGGATACTATGCCCTTTTTATATTTTATCTGTTTTGGGCACTTAGGTTAGGTATTTTTAGATCCTTTCTACGTGTGAATGACATTTGGTCCCACCAAACAAATACAACCTTCTCCTGGTTATGTATACAAGTGAGTTGATGAATGCTTACTTTGCTATCTTTTGTGCTTCTCATGATTGCCTTGCTCTGTTCTTGACACTTAGATTTATTTGAATGTTGTTTTGTGATTAAACGTTAATGAAGAATTCCTCATAAATTAAGGGTACGATATGTGTCTAAATGGATCCTCGGAGTTCCCCCAATCGATTACTTAACACTTAATCGTGAAGGCTTTCCGACTTTTACCTTTTGTTGGAACTATGTTCGCGGGAATGTACTACATGTTTTGAGTGACAACTATGGTTTGCCTTGAAGGTTTTTAAGTTTATATTTCTCTTTTTGATGAAACCAAGTCTCAAACCAAATCTGAATACGTAGCATATGATGGCGTTTGCTATGATCAAGAATTATCCATTCGATTCATGAACAAGAACACTTAACCGTAAAGGTTAGTTTGCTTTGATCCTCTTTCAGGACTGTATTTACATTTGAGAAATAGGGGAATATACTTAGGGATTAGGTGAAAATTTTCGGTTATCTTCGAAGGAATTTTTTGCTTTTTAATCCTTTTACCTGTTGTCGAGTTTTGAGCCGAATCTGGGTATGTAACTTCCATTTTTGTGTTAAAATCGGGAATTAGTCATCCTACTCAAAAAAGGAGGGCCCTTTTAACATGGTGCATATGAGGAGAACGTCTTGACCTCATTTTTAGGCACAAGATCTTTTTAAAACTTTATGATTTTAATCCGGAGATTGTGTCGCGTGTTTCTTGTGAACTTTTACAATCTAAGTCTGGAGACTGTGTCACGTGTTTGTAGCGGGATTTTATGATCTAAGTCTGGAGACTGTATCATATGGTTGTTATGAGCTGAGTTTAGGAATGTGTCATGTGATTGGTTTTTAATGAAAACTATACGTCTGAGTCGGGGACTTGTTATAATAAAAGAAAATGTGAGAAGATTCTTGAATTTGATAATTGCTTTATTTTCTTTGAGGGGAAAACTGCCCTATTTATACATATCTTTGAGGGTCAAATAGCCCTAGTTATACATAAACCTCTACGAGTTTCCCCGACTTAAGTTGTGAGCTTTTTGTAAGTATGGTAAAAGGAAATATTCCTGGCTATTGATCTCACTTGAGCAGTCTCCGTCAACCCTGATTTTGTGAAGTCTCGGTACCTAATCCCCCTAGTGAATAAGTATGAGGGTGGAATACTTTAGCTCTGGAATCCTTTCGCGAGTCCTGCACTCTGGAATCCCAGTACACTCTTGTGGTAATACACATTACATTTGTTGTCTTATTAAAAACCTTGCCAGTAAAATTCGTTCAAGATAAAAATCACGGGTAAGAAAAAGAGTACAACGCGTATTTTAAGGTATCTTGCTCGCCATGACATTAGACGTACATCTGTGCTTGTAGTCCCGGTCATGTGGGTGAATTATTTTTGTGACCAAAAATTGGTGAAATATAGTCTAGATTAAGAGTGTGAATCATACTTATGTTTTAACAGTAGTAGAATATAAATAGGTGATGTTCCAATTTCTTTATAATTCCTCACTAGTCCTATTTGTGAGTCGGCATGCACCTTTGAGGGCGACCCCGATGACTCGATACAATCCTTCCTAATTTCGACCCAATTTTCTAGTGTTGATTTCTCTCATTTTGATAGTCACTTTATGGAGGACATAGTCCCCGACTTTGAAGTGTCGTGGGTTGGCTTTGCGGTTGAAGTATTTTTCAACTCTCTACATTTGCACCATCGTTCGGCTGAGAGCAATATTTCCATGCTCCTCGAGTAAGTTCAGCCCAATATACTGTAATGATTCGATCAGTCATTTTGTATAATTGCGCCCAGTTTACCCTTTTCATACTTCACACGGATGTGTTTAAGCTTTTATGACTTGTGGGGTTGGATAGTTTCGTTCTGGCAAGCTTTCGGGTTAATTTGGACTCTTGATTTTGGACTTAGAAGTTTAAATTTGAAAATATTGACCAAACTTTGACTTTTATGAAAATGACCCCAGAACTGTATTTTTATGACTCTGATAGCTTTGTATCATGATTTCGGACTTGGGCGTATGCCCAAAATTAATTTTGGAAGTCCGTAGGTTGATTTGCCGAAATTTGGCAATTTAAAATTGAAACGTTGGACTGTAGGTTGACTTTTAGCTATCAAGCTAGGAATTTGATTTTGGGACATGGAATAGATCCTTTATGGTATTTAGAACTTGTCTGTAAAATTTGGTGTCGTTTGGAGTTGATTTGATAAGATTCGGACGTCTAGTTTTAATTCTAGAAGTTCTTGAAAATTTCTTTAAAAATCATGCATTTTAGTGTTTGATTCGTATTTTTAGATGTTATTTTTATGTTTTGATCGCGCGAGCGAGTTCATATGATGTATTGAGACTTGAGTGAGTATTTGGTTTGGAGCCTCGAGGGCTCGGGTGAGTTTCAGATGCTTAGCGAGGTGTTGATAGAGTTTAATTGATGGTTTTTTGCACATGTGCCTCTGATCTCGCATTTGCAAGTTTTTGGATCGCAATTGTGAAGTTAGGCCAAGTCTGATGGGTTCACATTTCCAGTGTTCGCATTTGTGATAGGTACCTGGGGAGAGATGGTTCATATTTGCGATCTCCATGGTCGCATTTGTAGAGGTCCAAGGTTCGCAATTGTGAACTTTTCATCACAATTGTGATGACAACAGAGATGGAAGGTCTTCGCTTTTGCTAGGGATTCTTCGCATTTTCGGGGTTTACAATTGCGAACCCCAGATCGCAATTGCGACATCTGCGACTGGACAAATAGCTGAGGGACGGGATTTTTGAACTCATTCTCTCATTTTTGAACCCTAGACTCGGTAGGAGGTGATTTGGAGAGGAGACTTTCACCTACAAACCTTGGATAAGTGATTCTAATCTATTTCTAATCATATTCCATCAACATATCTTAGATTTTAACATCTAAATTATGTGAATCAAAGTAGAAATTTGTGAAACTTTGTCAAGTTTTTGAAAAATAAGAAATTAAGTGTTGAGAGTCGATTTGGACTCGAATTTTAAAACTAATCACATAAATGAACTCGTGGGGTCATGGGTAGACAGAATCTACCATTGGACCCGACTTTTGACTGAGCGGGCTCCAGGTTTATTTTTATTGACTTTTTAGAAAAAGTGTAAAGATTTTAACTTTATCTATTGCAATTGAATTCCCTAGCATTGTTTGATGATATTGAGTCGATTTTGGGTAGATTTGAGCCGTGAGGAGGTAGATTTTAAGGGAAAAACTATTTTCGAGTGTTGAATTGGCTTAGTTGGGGTAAGTGTCTTGCCTAACTTCATGTGGGGGAACTACCCCTTAGGATTGGTATTGTTTGATTCAATTGTGCTAAGTGAAATCCGTGTACGCAAGGTGACGAGTGGGTACACGGGTTGTACGTGGTATTTGATTGATTTAGGCTACTTAGACTTTTTCCATGCTTTAATTGAAATGCCATATCATGTTCTAAATTCTCATAGTCAATCTATCCTTAATTGTGTTAGACTATTCTTGCATACCTTAATTGACTTATTTAGTACTTGTTCTACATCCTACTTGCTAAATTTCTCCCATGCTTTAGTTGAACTTGTTGCCTCTTTTATTGTTACATGCTATCTCTTCATTGTTAATTATCATTAGTTAAAGCTATTGTTCATATTATCTCTTTCCTTATTGATTTTTGTTACTTGAAGTAATTGTTCATGTTATCCCTTTACTTGTTGATTTCCATTATTTGAGACTCATTGTTGAATATTATCTCTTTTATTGTCAGTTAGTCTTATCTAATATTGTGGTTATACATTATTTCTTTCATTGTTGAGCTATTTGGTGTTGAAGTTGTGAAAGTCGTTAATACGTTGAGGCGATGTTGGTTATTGTTGAAACATCTATCGTATTGAGCATTTTTCATCCATTGTTTTTATTGATATTCTTGTATATGTTGTGGTGGAGCCGTAGGCTATTGTTGTGAAAACATTGATATTGTTGTTGTCGGCAAGTTGTGATATATGGACACTTGTGGTCCGAATTATTATTGTGATATGATAGTGACACACATGTGGCGGTATAAGGCTTGGGGTTTATGTGCATGCAGCGGTATAAGGTGGGACTTATGTGCGTGTTTCTTGTAGGGGAACTACTTGAAGCCACGCAGCGTCATAAGGTGGGCTAAAGTGCATGTAGCTATTTTGGAAAAACAGTTTTCAAAAACCTATTTTAAATGTAAGGCTCACGCGGCGGTATAATTAAAGATTGTGACTGAAATTGAGAAATGTGAATACGAGGCAGTACCTCGGTTGTGATTCTTGATTATACAAGGCGGTACCTCGGTTTTGATTTTATTATACACGAGGCGGTACCTCGTTGTGATTCTTGCTATTCGTTTCATGTTGCAAGGTGTTTTTAGTGGAAAATATATCTTATCGTGTCATTCCTTATTGTTCTAGCAGTTGTTTTCAGTACATGATCATTGTAGCACTTTAGTTGCTTCTTTTATGCTATTTCTACTATTGATTTCCAGTACTAGTTCTTGCTATTATATTGTTCCGTATCAGTTATTTCTTCACTTTCCATTACATATCCATATTATATTTTTATACTATCTATTTTATATCCTAGTAGGGGTCTTGACCTGTCGTCATCACTACTCTACTGAGATTAGGCTCGATACTTATAGGGTACCATTGTAGTGTACTCATATTACACTTCTGCACATTTTTTGTGCAGATCCAGGTACGTCTGCTCGTACCAGTCGTTAGAGGTTGTTGTAGCTGCTGCTTGGGAGACTTCAACGTATACCTACTCCACGTCTGCATGCCTCAGAGTCACCTTCCCTATTTTACTTCCTGTTGTATTTATTTCAACCAGTGATGTATTAGACATTCTAGAATTAATCTATAGAGCTTATGACTCAGTTCCACCGGTTTTGGGGTTTGTATTATGAGATTCTGCTTTTGGAACGTTTTTATCTAT